CTTAAAGCAGTATAGCCAAATACCCTTTTTGGCCCTGCCCCTCAGCCCCCTGGGGGGTCAGCCACACCATTTGTACAATTTTAAATCCCTGCCTCCCAGGAATGCTTTTGATCAAATATGATTGATATCCAGTGCACAGTTCTACAGAAGAAGTCGTTTGTAGCAATATAGCCAAATTGCCCCCTTTTGGCCCCGCCCCTAAGCCCCCTGGGGAGTCAGCCCCACCATTTGTACAATTTTTAATCACCACCACCTAGGGATGCTTCCAGTCAAATATGGTTGATATCCACTTCTTAGTTTCAGAGAAGAAGTCGCTTAAAGCAATATGGGCAAATTGACCCCTTTTGGCCCCGCCCCTCAGCCCCCTGGGGGGTCAGCCCCACCATTTGTACAATTTTGAATCCCCACCACCTAGGGATGCTTCCAGTCAAATTAAGTTTAATTCCAACCAGTGGTTAAGAAGAAGAAGTTGTTTAAAGAAATTGTTGACGTACGGACGGACGACGGACGCCACGGTATGGCATAAGCTCACCTTGGTCCTTCGGACCAGGTGAGCTAAAAAACAGTGGATAGGACTAGATCTAGATATGGTAGGAAAACAATAGTGAGTATGAGATTCAGTCTATAAAAACACTTCTTGAATGCTAGAAATGAAGATATCATCAACGACGAGGCATATATTCCAATTGTATTTTTTTCTCTTTCAGTCTTTGAAATTGTAAAAGGAAATGAATAAATAATTTCATTTGTTAAATTGCCTTTACTGGGTGAATAATTTGTTTCGGTATAATAAAACAGTTATAGAATGGGTATGAGGGAAATAGCACATTTATGGTCCCCCGAGGTGAAAAACTATTTCCTGAGGCGGCGAAGCTGTCGAGGGGAATAGTTTTTCACCAAGGGTGAGTAAATTGCCTTTACTGGGTGAATAATTTGTTTCGGTATAATAAAACAGTTATAGAATGGGTAATTCGGGAAATAGCAAATTTATGGTTACCCTTGGTGAAAAACTATTCCCCTCGACAGCTTCGCCGCCTCGGGAAATAGATTTTCACCTCGGGGGAACATAAATGTGCTATTTCCCCCATACCCATTCTATAACTCCATTCACAGGGAGATAGCTATACCACTAACAGACTTTAACTAGAACTATTCACAGTGAGATAGCTATACCACTAACAGACTTTAACTAGAACTGTTCACAGGGAGATAGCTATACCACTAACAGACTTAAACTAGAACTGTCCACAGGGAGATAGCTTTACCACTAACATACTTTAACTAGAACTATTCAGTGAGATAGCTATACAACTAACAGACTTTAACTAGAACTGTTAACAGCGAGATAGCTTTACCACAGGGACATACCACTGACAGACTGTAAGTAGAGACTAATCCAAGTCCTCACTACCTTTACCTAAACATGGAAAAGTTGTATAAGTACGACTCTTCAGACACTGAAGGACAAGTTAACAAGGTCATATTGATGACAATTTTCTGAGATATGGGCAATCACCACATTTCATTTTTACCTTCCAGAGTGGTGAGAAGTAGGAATGCTTCAGGTGCTAAGTTCCAAGGTCAAGTTCACTTGGTTTGACAGTTTGTAAACAATGTAACAAATATCACCACATGTGCTATAGTTGCTAATTAAGGAGAATGACTGTTCACCTGGTTAGAGATGACAATACTGTGTTCACAAGGCAAAAGCATTTGGTGATTATGAAAAGTGTTTTTTTACATAACCAATAAGAGTTTCTATGCGACGTTTCTATGACAAGTACTATATGTACAGTCACCTTCATCAGACAAAAGACCAGTGAAGCGTATGCACACAAAGGTGTAAAATGTGTACGACTTAGTATTAAACAAAGGGTAGCTGAATCGAGTCATTTCGGTACATATATAACAACTATTGAACGCGTAGCCAAATTGACATCAATTTTGTGAACTCGTACACAATTTTACACCTTTGTGTGCACATGCTTCACTGGTCATTTGTCTGATGAAGGTGACAAGAGTACATATCGTACTAGTCATCGAAACGTCAAATAGAAACTCTTATTGGTTGTGTAAAAAGAACTTTTCATTATCCATACCTACCAACCTGAAGAAAATGTTTATAAATAGGCATTTGGTGATTTGATTAAGACTTTGACCACTGCTTCCTTGGTTTGACATACCTGACAGGTGAAGTATTTCTAAACTCGTCAACAATCAGATTGGCACTGGTGAGTGAGTCTGCCAAGCTGTACCAATGTCAATGATACTTGTATATATAATTGTTACTTCTTTTGGTTTGGTTTTAAGAAAAAACAACACTGAAAATTAAACGTTGCTTGTATTAACATTTTATTATAATTGTTCATTGGAATGTAGAAAAGTAGCCTCGGCCAAAAATACATGATTATGAATAGTATTGTACAAAAGAAAATTTTCTGTGATTTATCATGAAAATAGTATTTGTTGAATCATTGTAAAACATGTTTAAATGCAACAAATATAAAGTGAAAGTAGAATTTCTAATAACAGCACAATTTCCTGTTAATTTGTTTAAATCACTTTAAATTTACATTGCAAACAAGTTTCACTACATAGATGAACTACACAGAAGTGCCTATTTTGATAATTCAAGTATTTAGATCTAAACTATAAGGAGAATGTGAGGATACAATTGAGCGACGTCCAGAAGTAGATCACACCTAGAGTAAGATCCATCCCATGTTGCACTTTAGGTAATGATTGATCTCAACTTGGCAACTGAATCTTTTTACAGGCAAAACTAAATCTGCCAAATTGGTCAAATTGTATTCACTGACTTACAAATATACAGTTTGTTCAGTGAACACTATATAATCCAATTTCTTATGAAAGTACTAGTAAAACTTGTGTATTCCCACATTCTGTCAAATATATTGGGTACAGCAGCGTGTTACAATAGACAGGTTTCTCTTCAATTATCTCCTCTGTAAAATTTCATTTTTTTTTTTTTACAAGCATGCATCAACAAGAAAGTCTCGTCTATATTTGTTGACAAACTCAACAGGGTATTTGATAAAAATCGGGGGAAATGTCTTATGATGCTGCTAAACTTAACACACATTTCTACAACCCTACAAGACAGAACCTGTGATACAAATTGATTATAGGTGATGTTAGCAATAAAAATATCATTTATCTGACAATTTCAGTCTCCCAGGAATTTTGGAATAAAATTTTATATGAGAATCTCCGGATAACAAATACATGTTTGTACTGCAGTTTTAGGGATAAATAAGAGGTGAATACCTATATATATTCTGGCATACAGTAACTCCAGATAATTATTTCCCAGTGATAATGTTAAACCAGTAATAGTAAACAACTTGGTATACATTCTTCCGTTTCCTGACTAAGATCTCTTTCTGTGACCACCTATCCTAATTGTCTAGTTTAATGTTACACTATGCATTAGTCTCACGAGCTCCTTAGTCCTCGTGATTTCTCCCTAAAGACGAAAGGGCAAGGAATAACCGATTTCCTGATTAATAAAGCTAGCCAAGTGTATTGCTACTCTCGGTTGCAGGTGTATTGTTACTCTGGGTCGCCAGGTGTATTGTTACTCTGGGTTGCCAGGTGTATTGTTACTCTGTGTCACCAGGTGTATTGTTACTTTGGGTTGCCAGATGTATTGTTACTCTGGGTCGCCAGGTGTATTGTTACTTTGTGTCACCAGGTGTATTGTTACTCTGGGTCGCCAGATGTATTGTTACTCTGGGTCGCCAAGTGTATTGTTACTCTTGGTCTGCCAGATGGAATCCAGAAAATAAATTTTGTGGATATAACCTTAGTTCAGTAACATAGCAACACTCGGCTGTTCAACATGGATATAGTGTTCTGGGACTGAATGTAATCAGTCACAATATGGAATAGTGATATGTAAAGTAACAATGTATAGGACATCAGACTTAAAATATTTAAATAACAAAAGTGACAACAAACCATCTCATCTCTTTGTCTTAATTAACCATTAAAAGTAATAATTCTATTTCTAAAACACATTTGTAGATATGAGCTAACAATGGCTACCATTCCACAGGTTTTCTTACAATGGAAAAGGACAAAAATATTTCTATATTAATTATGCTGTTAATCATTAATTGATGTGCTTTACATGTATGAAATATATTGCCTATGTTACAAATTGAATTTGATTCAAAGCAGAAGAAAATGACGGGACTTGATGTGTATTTCTATAATGTTATCGTGAACGTGCCAATCTTTTCTCCTCCTTCGTCACCCAACACCAGAGGTATGTCATGAACAGTTCAAAATATAGGTCATCAATCAATTAGAATAGTTTGATCACTTCAGTGCTATGATTTCTTAAAACATTAGGATTAAAGTCAAAAACATTTAAATGGTAATGAATAAAACTTGTTTAGGTCAAACACATACATTTTTTTACAAAATAGACTGAAAATAAAAATGGTTCTTGTAAAAGAATATATTTTTTCCAAACAAAAAACAGTGCTTGAGTTCCTCACTATCTGACTATTGCCATCCTAAAAGTCCTCCACAACAAACTCAGTGACTACAACAGGTGATACATCTAATGCCTGAACTACTGAAAATCTCAACAGTTTCACCTTAGGCTGTCAACACTGGGCACAATTTGTGAAAGTACCAGGCAAATGTTTAGTCTAGTTTTGCGACCATAATTCGTAACCATAGTTACCAAAAATCAAAATACACTTTCAACATTATTTTTGAGAACTAAACATGATACTAGTACTTTTTGTTTACAGCGAAAACTACACACACATGCAGCGACGATAACAAACATTACATAAAATAAAATCTCATTTACTAAAATTGGAAGAATCACTGAAAAACAGGAAATTGTGTTAAAAATGGTCCATGCATCGATGACATTATAAGTTTTAAGCTTCTTCAGCCATAAAAGGTCCACAAATAACATGGTTGATTTTAATATGGCCAAACAAACACGCTATATACAAAGTAAAATGTAACATTGACATGGATTAAAAATTAATGTACATAAAATTTGTTTTTACAAAATTAGAAAAAGGAAATCAATGTTTTAGCAAAGATCATAATTTGATGGCACAGTCTATAGAACTAATTCTGACAATCATCTATGAATAGGTTTTATAGATACTTATGTATTCAAAATTGATTCACCTCTAGATCTAGACCAGCATAAAATACACACAATTAGACAGTTTGAGAAATACGGTAAAGATAAAAACACAAACAAACATGGCTATATATTCTGACAGCAATTAAAATGATAAATTACATTTCTTGTACAAAAATAACATTTTATATGTTTATTCAATCATTGTATTTGATAATATTGCATAAATGCAGTCTGTCACAAAGGATAGAGGGTAACTAACCATCACCTAATGGTCAGCAATGCCAGCACGGACAATTAAGTCACATGCTTATCTCCCTTGTCACAGTCTGGTGCCTGGATATAGCTGCGCATGTTCTGGTCAGGAGAATATACTTTATCATCACAAGTGTCCATTTGTGCAGGTCATTCAGTAATCTGTGGCACCGTGATGACCTTGACAAACAACAATGACCTTCAGAGATAAGCTAACAATAAATGTCCAACAATGATCTGGCCTAGTATTTGCCGAAGACAACTGGTAGGCTCCAAGCTTTATTAATTCTGGAGGTCACTTGTGTAGGTCATCCCATGGTTAAACGAACGTTGAGTTGTCTAAAGATCAAATTCCTGTCCTGCTCTATCTTGCTCCTGAAGGAAAAGAAGGAAAAATGGGATAAATAATTTGCTCTTACATCTATAAATCCCGTCTCAAGTTTCATTCTGGCTTTAAGTACAATTATCTTATAAGCCTAAGTTTTATTCTTAATTCTTATCTGGCCTTTGACCTGAGGTGAAGGTCACAAGGACCTACTTAAAGTTTCAACAAAATATCTTCCACAGTTAAAAGTTATGGCCCTAACTGTTTTAAAGCTAGGGCCTGGACAAAATTATATTAGATCAAGGACCAAATGAACCAGTAATACTACAATCTGTCTTTCATTCAAATGGAAAATATAAGACATGTCATTTTACTACAACAGAAACCTCCCCTGATGTGTTACTGAGAGAAACCTGTCATGTCAGAAACCTCCCCTGATGGGTAACTGAGAGAAACCTATCATGTTACTACAACAGAAACCTCCCGTGATGTGTTACTGAGAGAAACCTGTCATGTAACTGCAACATAAACCTCCCCTGATGTGTTACTGAGAGAAAGCTGTCATGTAACTACAACAGAAACCTCCTCTAATGTGTTACTGAGAGAAACCTGTAATGTTACTACAACAGAAACCTCCCATGATGTGTTACTGAAAGAAACCTTTCATGTTACTACAACAGAAACCTCCCCTGATGTGTTACTGAGAGAAACCTGTCATGTAACTGCAACATAAACCTCCCCTGATGTGTTACTGAGAGAAACCTGTCATGTTACTACAACAGAAACCTCCCATGATGTGTTACTGAGAGAAACCTGTCATGTTACTACAACAGAAACCTCCCCTGATGTGTTACTGAGAGAAACCTGTCATGTTACTACAACAGAAACCTCCCCTGATGTGTTACTGAGAGAAACCTGTCATGTTACTACAACAGAAACCTCCCCTGATGTGTTACTGAGAGAAACCTGTCATGTTACTACAACAGAAACCTCCCCTGATGTGTTACTGAGAGAAACCTGTCATGTTACTACAACAGAAACCTCCCCTGATGTGTTACTGAGAGAAACCTGTCATGTTACTACAACAGAAACCTCCCCTGATGTGTTACTGAGAGAAACCTGTCATGTTACTACAACAGAAACCTCCCCTGATGTGTTACTGAGAGAAACCTGTCATGTTACTACAACAGAAACCTCCCCTGATGTGTTACTGAGAGAAACCTGTCATGTTACTACAACAGAAACCTCCCCTGATGTGTTACTGAGAGAAACCTGTCATGTTACTACAACAGAAACCTCCCCTGATGTGTTACTGAGAGAAACCTGTCATGTTACTACAACAGAAACCTCCCCTGATGTGTTACTGAGAGAAACCTGTCATGTTACTACAACAGAAACCTCCCCTGATGTGTTACTGAGAGAAACCTGTCATGTTACTACAACAGAAACCTCCCCTGATGTGTTACTGAGAGAAACCTGTCATGTTACTACAACAGAAACCTCCCCTGATGTGTTACTGAGAGAAACCTGTCATGTTACTACAACAGAAACCTCCCCTGATGTGTTACTGAGAGAAACCTGTCATGTTACTACAACAGAAACCTCCCCTGATGTGTTACTGAGAGAAACCTGTCATGTTACTACAACAGAAACCTCCCCTGATGTGTTACTGAGAGAAACCTGTCATGTTACTACAACAGAAACCTCCCCTGATGTGTTACTGAGAGAAACCTGTCATGTTACTACAACAGAAACCTCCCCTGATGTGTTACTGAGAGAAACCTGTCATGTTACTACAACAGAAACCTCCCCTGATGTGTTACTGAGAGAAACCTGTCATGTTACTACAACAGAAACCTCCCCTGATGTGTTACTGAGAGAAACCTGTCATGTTACTACAACAGAAACCTCCCCTGATGTGTTACTGAGAGAAAGCTGTCATGTTACTACAACAGAAACCTCCCCTGATGTGTTACTGAGAGAAACCTGTCATGTTACTACAACAGAAACCTCCCCTGATGTGTTACTGAGAGAAACCTGTCATGTTACTACAACAGAAACCTCCCCTGATGTGTTACTGAGAGAAACCTGTCATGTTACTACAACAGAAACCTCCCCTGATGTGTTACTGAGAGAAACCTGTCATGTTACTACAACAGAAACCTCCCCTGATGTGTTACTGAGAGAAACCTGTCATGTTACTACAACAGAAACCTCCCCTGATGTGTTACTGAGAGAAACCTGTCATGTTACTACAACAGAAACCTCCCCTGATGTGTTACTGAGAGAAACCTGTCATGTTACTACAACAGAAACCTCCCCTGATGTGTTACTGAGAGAAACCTGTCATGTTACTACAACAGAAACCTCCCCTGATGTGTTACTGAGAGAAACCTGTCATGTTACTACAACAGAAACCTCCCCTGATGTGTTACTGAGAGAAACCTGTCATGTTACTACAACAGAAACCTCCCCTGATGTGTTACTGAGAGAAACCTGTCATGTTACTACAACAGAAACCTCCCCTGATGTGTTACTGAGAGAAACCTGTCATGTTACTACAACAGAAACCTCCCCTGATGTGTTACTGAGAGAAACCTGTCATGTTACTACAACAGAAACCTCCCCTGATGTGTTACTGAGAGAAACCTGTCATGTTACTACAACAGAAACCTCCCCTGATGTGTTACTGAGAGAAACCTGTCATGTTACTACAACAGAAACCTCCCCTGATGTGTTACTGAGAGAAACCTGTCATGTTACTACAACAGAAACCTCCCCTGATGTGTTACTGAGAGAAACCTGTCATGTTACTACAACAGAAACCTCCCCTGATGTGTTACTGAGAGAAACCTGTCATGTTACTACAACAGAAACCTCCCCTGATGTGTTACTGAGAGAAACCTGTCATGTTACTACAACAGAAACCTCCCCTGATGTGTTACTGAGAGAAACCTGTCATGTTACTACAACAGAAACCTCCCCTGATGTGTTACTGAGAGAAACCTGTCATGTTACTACAACAGAAACCTCCCCTGATGTGTTACTGAGAGAAACCTGTCATGTTACTACAACAGAAACCTCCCCTGATGTGTTACTGAGAGAAACCTGTCATGTTACTACAACAGAAACCTCCCCTGATGTGTTACTGAGAGAAACCTGTCATGTTACTACAACAGAAACCTCCCCTGATGTGTTACTGAGAGAAACCTGTCATGTTACTACAACAGAAACCTCCCCTGATGTGTTACTGAGAGAAACCTGTCATGTTACTACAACAGAAACCTCCCCTGATGTGTTACTGAGAGAAACCTGTCATGTTACTACAACAGAAACCTCCCCTGATGTGTTACTGAGAGAAACCTGTCATGTTACTACAACAGAAACCTCCCCTGATGTGTTACTGAGAGAAACCTGTCATGTTACTACAACAGAAACCTCCCCTGATGTGTTACTGAGAGAAACCTGTCATGTTACTACAACAGAAACCTCCCCTGATGTGTTACTGAGAGAAACCTGTCATGTTACTACAACAGAAACCTCCCCTGATGTGTTACTGAGAGAAACCTGTCATGTTACTACAACAGAAACCTCCCCTGATGTGTTACTGAGAGAAACCTGTCATGTTACTACAACAGAAACCTCCCCTGATGTGTTACTGAGAGAAACCTGTCATGTTACTACAACAGAAACCTCCCCTGATGTGTTACTGAGAGAAACCTGTCATGTTACTACAACAGAAACCTCCCCTGATGTGTTACTGAGAGAAACCTGTCATGTTACTACAACAGAAACCTCCCCTGATGTGTTACTGAGAGAAACCTGTCATGTTACTACAACAGAAACCTCCCCTGATGTGTTACTGAGAGAAACCTGTCATGTTACTACAACAGAAACCTCCCCTGATGTGTTACTGAGAGAAACCTGTCATGTAACTGCATCATAAACCTCCCCTGATGTGTTACTGAGAGAAACCTATCATGTTAATAGAAGCCTCCCCTGATGTGTTACTGACAGAAACCTATCATGCTACAACAACGTAAGTCTCCCTTAATGTGTTACTGATAGAAACCTATCATTTTAATAGAAGCCTCCCCTGATACATGTGTTACTGATAGAAACCTGTCATGTTACTTTAACACTGTGTAACTTGGAAACATGCCATGAATCCAAAACAAATTCCTCTTTCAATGAATAAGCCTGTGCAGGTGTAAAGGGATTAAAAACACAAGGTAGAGACATGCTATTTATACTAAAAACAAAGAAAATGACGATTTTAGTCTGGAATGAGAAGTGTGAAATGACTGATACAATGATCTACAATTCCTTATTTACCAGAATCACACACAAGCATTACACAATTTCATAGCATAATGAGTTGAAAATAGCTACATGCATCATTGGCAAAATGGGGCCAGGAAAATATGGTAAAGTTAGAACAGGTGAGGGGGTTAAATCAAACAGGTTACAATGTCATGGTTAAACAGAAGACTTGATGTTAGCAAGATTAGATACAAAAACCAATAAGATTAGTATTCAGAGTGGAATAACCACCTCTTCAGCTTCAGAACCATCACCATCAGCCCGATGAGAATCTTCGTCGTCATCATCATCATCATCGTCATCATCATATTCCTCCCTCCTGTCATCTCCTCCTGGGGGTGGGGGAGGGGGAGGAGGGAGGGACTTAGGTAGCTCTGGAGCTTCAGGGTCTCGAGGACTGTCTTTGGGACTCCCCTACAGACCGAACGCATGCATTCATGTCATAACAGGGTTCAACTATATATTACCGGTACTCATGCAAAACTTGACAGCTGTTCACTTGTTGTCACAGAGATACAGTATACGTCTCTTATTACAATATCTCAAAATTTACATCTACAGAGTAAGAATATGTTAAGACCGAAGATATATTATTTTTTCTTTTTTTTGTAAATTTTTATTTAGTAGCAATCAATTAGATTTTCTTTTGATCATTTCAATGAAATATATTTATTGGTATTTTATGAATTTTTCTCCTGATCCCCAAAATATTAGTTACATTTTGACAACATTGATAATACTCGATTAAACACAGGTAATTAACAGTCATCATGAATTTTGTGATGGCAAAAAAGAAAGACTGATGAACAACAAAAAGAGGGAATACAATCTGCAATTTATTATTTTGAAAATATTTGCAGTTAATTAAATTATACTTAACAGCTATTTGAAGCCACTGTGTTATATATTGATCTGAAGTTAACTATTGACTCTCTAGGGAACAGCTGTCAACGTCTTTACTACACATCAAGGACATAATATACCTACAACATGTACCATACACATAGACAGTAATACATACATACATCTGTGCCTCTATTTCAATTTATGGAATACTTTGAAATTTATATAGACTAAATAGGAACAAAATGTTTTCAGTTCATTTTTTTTTACTCTTGTTTCTTTTGATTTGTTTCCAATAAAGCAAACTGCTTCTCATTGTTCAATAGGACATTTTTCAAATTACAACAGATGAAATTAAGGCACTATTCAGTACATGCATTTTACAGATGTGGCACTTTCTCTTCGGGTGTATTTAACCAAATGTAATTGCTAATTAATAACAATGCAGAAAATCACTGGCAAAGAAGGTGTTTTTTGTGACAATATTTTGAGAATATGATCATGCCTTACAACAATTTAAATATCAGGGTATGTACAGCATGCTACTACTGAAGGGATTATTGATGGTGGACTATACAAGGACACATGCAATGGTAGGGAAGTAGTTTGTAAGAGACTAAATCACATTTACAAAGAAAATTTCAATCTTTTTTTCTTCTTTTCATAACAAGTTCCTAATTAATCTTGTATATGTGTTTATGCATTTCTTTAGCTTTAAACCTAAACCAAGTTCCCTTTCCACCAACTTAGATCTCCTTAAAATCATGGGATAATGCTTTCTTTGTTTTTCAAACAACCTGAATTTCTTTCTACAAATAGAAAAATCAACCTACCTTGGGTTGATCTTCAAAACTGCTGAGTCTGCTGCGTTTGTTCCGCTCCTTTGGTTCTGATACCTCTACAGCAGCTTCTTCCACAGCTGCCACGGCGACGACCTCATCCCACTCCTTCTTGCCCCGGGATCCTTTCTTGTCCTTCTGTGACCTTTTCCTCTCTCTATCAAGTCGCTTCTGATCAGCTTTTTCTTCCTTCTTTCTCCTCTTTTCCTCAGCCTTTATCTTCTTCAGTCTTTCCTTTTCCTCCTTGGCAAGTCGTTTCTTGTCCTCCTTGCTATAGACCAGTGGAGGGGCTTCCAGGCGTTCTTCAGGAGGCGGAGGGGGAATTCCATCTAGATCTTCATCCATGGATCTATTCTGTTAAACAGATAAAGAAGTAGTTTTTTGTAATTTATGCTACTTTTTCATCTCTCTTACTTCTATTGTCCTGAGGACTCAGATAATCTGATCTTAATATGTGATGTGGTATTATGTTACCTTGTAATTTTTCTTTCAATAAATTCATGCAAAATCGTTTTCCAGACACTAAATGTAAAACACACAATTCCTAATAACTACACATTGTGTATCATCTGAACTGTTTCTTTTTTATATACAATTTTTTAATTTATGTATCTCAACATCAGGTATATTTCTGTACCAATAGGTAACAAATGCCCTTTACTCTATGAAGGTGTTCAGTATTGATTATTGTATGTCAGGGTTTTACCTAGCATTTCTCTGTTCTTGCAAACCTACTGCTAGATAATTTACTGCTTGAGTACATTTAATTGTATGAGCAATGATCATGAGAAAATCAATACCTCTTCTTGGAGTAACTTATTGCAGCAAATACGGTAATAAAAAAATAACCAACACAGGAGACCTGTTTGATATCTATACAGATCTGTGTATTTTTCTGATGGTGATAATCCGAGTATTTTTGCATTACTTAATTTTCCTAATTTAAAAGAATGAAAAAAAACCCCAAAAAAGTCAACACTTTTCAAGCCAATTTTGTTTTTTCTGCCTTAATTACAGATGTCTTTATCAATAGGTATAAATTAGTGTTAAGACAAAAAGACTGAAGTTTCAATTTGTAACAATAAATGGTTTTTTTCCTCTTGGCTTTGGATTTTTATGATGATTACGGTAAACAGGGAGCTGTTACCAAGTTACAAATGTTTCGTTTCCTTTGATATCTCGACCAATCAATACTTACACAGGGAAAACACAGTTTACAATAGACACGAAATGCATAGTAATCAATCTACAATGACTATTGATTTTTATCACCAGCGTCACTACCCTAATTTTTCGTTATCAGGCTTCATTGTACTTTGATCCGAGATAATCTATTTTGCTAAATAATGCAGATAAATTTAAGATTTAAAAATGTTGATTAGATGCTCTACTTGTCCTTTTTGTAAATCAGGATTTATTTCTCCACATGTTGTATTTTCAGGTGTTTTTAAGGTCAAAACTCTGCATGTAAGCTATGGAGCTGTCCTGATGTGGATGCCATGACAGTGAATTTTTTTTTAATGGCCCTGGTGAAAATTTCAGAAAAAGACATTCATCACAAATGTCTCAGATGTCAGGGAGACCTCCTGGTGCCCTCTTGGAAATTTACATAAATATTTATGATGTATATCAGTCCAAAGTGTGTATATATTTGCCACAACTCTGTTCTGTCAACACTGGTCAGTCTACAACAGAACTGGACAATACTGAATTAAGATGTAGGTACACCCACTAGAGCGATAAGACCAACTTTATTACCAGTTAACTGTGAAACTTAACAACTGTATAGCCTCTCTTATCATTGCCCGTCACATTCCAGAATAATATAACAGATAATCTGACGACATTGACATAGGAGATCCTACATCATATTAGCTGGTCAGCTCTATAAGGAGTCTATTTGATATGGTTTATAATCTATTAAACTAGTTAAAAATACTTTTTCATCTGGTACGACCATTTTTCAAAACCATACTTGAATATTTTGTTCACATTTTAAATTCATCACCAGTGAAAGTGATGGTAAAAATATGATGTGTATTTGTTTAATCTATCACACATGTATACACATTCCTGATATATCAGATAAACATAACACATGACCGCCTACTACATTTGAAAGCCAATATCCGGTCTGCCCAATGGGAAATATATATATATATATATCACAAAGATAATTCTGTAAATAATTGTCAAAACATACATTGACTGTTGAGTTAGCGTTGGACACAAACATTCCACATAACTCTCAGTTCCTTGATGGAGACTCCACTCAGCTGTGAACTGTTGACATTAATTCATTCTATCTTTAATTGTTTATGCTATCTCTTGTTTAAATAAACAGTAGGATTAATACAAACTTTCTAACATGAATATCCCTTATCATCTTTCAAAATTTTATTAAAATTTATTGATTTAATCACTCTCCAGTATATGTTTTTAATCATAATCTGGTTTTTATATTAAAGGAAAATTTACTAAATGAGATCAATTAAGTGTTTACTGCGAGTTAACTCATTTACCCCTTAAGACGCATTTGAACTCCTCCAATTCAAAGGTTGGAATAATTCATTATGACATTGCAGGGGTGAATGATTTAATGGCTATCTTGTACACAAATATTCACTATGATGGGAAAAATGTTCATTTTCTTGAATTTTCCAGAACCAAGACATTGCATGGTTTCATATGTTTTCTTTTTCAATGTTAACAAAACAGATGTAATGTGTAAGAAAAAGTTTTTAAAAAAATGTTGAAATATTACAACACAAGACAGACTTGGATTAAATCAAAATTTAATGTCTGGACATACGTCATATATATAACACAAAATATACAATTTTAGCACAGTACATTATATATATCTATATACATGTATTGGCCAGTAGCACACAAGTCATCAGTGAAAAGCATATAGGCACCCATATCCCAGCTATTACAGTGTATATACACCTACAGCTGTTAGTTTAAAAAACGTAAGGCAAAGAATTAGAATTTACACATAGTGGAAAAAAAACATTGTCATGTTACAGTTTAAAATTGATGAATTGATTGTCAGTATAAAATAAATGTTTGCTGTGTTGACAACTTATCGTCTAATTTTTACACCAATCTTTTACAAAAAACACAAAAGCCCTGATTTCACAATCAATTCCGTGTTTACATTTCTTCATATTTAATCAACAGATTAGAAAGAAAAAAAAATCTAAATATTTTTACTTCAGGTTGTAAGTTAAATCATCATTTGGTTGTGAATTATGATCAATCCTAGCAGGTTTTATATAAACTAATAAAAATCCTTGATTTTAAACAATTTTTACTCTCTGTTTATACATAATAAAAAAAATATTATTTAACGTCACTTATAAATTGCATAAAACATTGATCAAAAATGAGCAATTACCGTCATAATTATCACAGCATTTATTAACAATAGCTCTACTTAGTATTACATGTATATGAGACTGAAGAAATATTTAATTTTACACAATATTTAAAACCAAGAGACATTTAAACAACCGACAAATTCTGTCAACATGACAAAATGTATCAATATGATTTAAAACATTTAGCGTTGTTTGGATCTCCTAATTGGATCTATAAAAACAATGTGAATTCAGATACATGTATATGCCATGTCTTTGTGTTGTAAACATTTTCATTAACAGTATTTTTCTATATCTTTTTTAAATTTGTTCCTTTACTCATTGCACAATAGTTTCCCAGACAAAAATTATAAGGACAGATTTTCTCACCAATATAAATATATTCATCCATATAAATAAATAGACTGAAAACATATGAAATTTATTTGATCCAATGCAGCAACATAGAAATTTCAATATCCAACTTAATTAAGATAAAGGGTACCATCCAGCTTATATGTTTTAACCATTGTCAATATTATGAAATGTTCAGGTCCATTTTAACAGAGGTATTTAATATGAATTTATGTCACTAATGTGATGCATTTTACATAATGATAAAAAAAACAAAAAAACTGCATAGGTCGAACTCCAAACTTATACATTGAGAAATGAATTATCAACAAGGGAAGTAACTCTACACCAGAAAAGTCATTTTTTGTATATAAGGGAAAATACTCCAAGTAAAAAACTTGTTGATTGTAACTTTTTTGAGATTTTAACCGCTGTTATGCTACCCTTTACCTTAAGGTGGTTATTGTATAAACACAGAGTAGAAATAGACTACTACATATATCACAGGAATAAACAGTTGGTTTACAATGTCTATTGAATGGTGGCTTTAAATGAGGTCAATAATCACACAACTACAGGTAGCACAAAAACTTAACAATAATATAAATAATTTTAAATAAAGTGACTAAAAAGGTAAATATTGGGACTTCAACAACTCTAGCTGTATGCTAACAACTTACAATAAAATAATACACATTACAATATATACTATAACTGAAATCTAACCATTGATTACAAAAAACCTATATGAAAACTGATCAAATTGGGTTGTAACGTTATCATGATAAAGCCACACTCAAAATTAAGCCTACTCCTCCAAACTTATTGTTATATAAATTTGGGAATGGGTGATTTTCACATTACAAATTAAGCCCCTTCCCCTTCTTTGAAGAAATAAATATTAGTCTCCTTCACCCGTACTCCACTCCTTAAGGAATGACCCCCCCCCCTCCTTCCCCACTCCTTAAAGGAATGACACCCCCCTTCAGCTCCCAGGGCTTCTATCATAGGTAGGTGACAGACACATAAGATGGATGCTTTTAATGTGTGATGTATATATACACAACTGTATTGAGCTAAATAGATGTTTCTGATATGTTTTGATAACACTAATCAACACCAGAAGACTTCAGTCCACAAACAAAACATGGAGGACAATGTACATCTACTGAAGTTAGATAATTCCATTCAAGATTCCATCTCAAAGGCTCCATAACTTCATTGTATGACTGTAAAGCTCAAAAATAGTTACCAAGTTATCAGGAATAAAAAATGAAGCTTACTTAATATCTATTATCATAAATAAACAATACCCAGGAATATAATGATGGAAAACGACAATAAAAGTTAGCAAGAAAAAATAGATCACAGATGAAAAGTCTTTAAATCTAAAGAAAGAGATCAATCAATTTTTATATTTGTAGTTCCAGCGCAAATAGTGTTCACAAAATTACTTTCATATATATAAAGCATAAAGTTGTTTGCCATTTACAAGTTTAAATGTAAAGAAGTAGTTTTTTCACATACACTTTTGCAGTTGTTTATCGTCTGCTCAAAACTGTAGTTAAGTATCTAGGTATTTACAACGATGCAATCTACAGTGAATGGCCACACACTACATCAAAAACAATAAAA